TGCGTCAAAATCGGAACCACTAGCAGAAGAAGCTTTGAAGAGTCAAGTCACCCTTAATGTGACTGGCACTAATCAAAGAGGTGGAGGATCTGGTAGAGGTCGTGGAAGAGGAAGAGGAGGTTCTGGTGGAAGAGGTCGTGGTAACTTCAACCAAGGAGGAGGACGTGGTAACTCCAACCAAGGAAGAGGTGGAGGTAATACCAAACAAGGTAAATTTCCATTTCATTGCTACAATTGTGGCAAGTATGGGCACAAGATTGCAGATTATTGGTATAATGAGGACAACAATCGTGGAAATCAAGCAAACATTGCTGAAAACACTACTGAAAAGTCTGGTGAGAGTTCTGAAACTTTACTTTTAGCCAGCGATAGTTTTTTTGCAGATAAGAACATATGGTTCTTGAATACTGGGTGTAGTAACCATATGTGTGGGAAGAAAGAATTGTTTTCTGAATTGGATGAATCAGTCCGGTCTGAAGTAACGTTTGGCAATAAGTCAAAGGTGCCAATTTTGGGAAAAGGTAAAATCTCTATTCAGTTGAAGGATGGTACCCACAATTTTATATCCGATGTGTTCTATGTTCCTGAACTACACCAAAATTTGTTGAGTATGGGTCAGTTGTCAGAAAAAGGATATAAGATACATATTGCTCAGGGGTGTTGTACCATTGCAGATGCTAAAGGAGTTTTGATTGCAAAGGTAAATATGTCCCAAAATCGACTATTTCCTTTGAAAATTAAGCATACTCTCCTTGCTTGCTTTAATTCTGAAGTTTGTGATGATAATTGGTTATGGCATATGCGGTTTGGGCATTTTCATTTTTCTGGGTTAAATTATCTTGCGAGAAAGGAACTTGTTTCTGATTTACCTGTTGTGAATGTCCCTAATCGTATCTGTGAGATTTGTGTGATTGGGAAGAAGCATAGAGATCCCTTTCCCGTGGGCAAGTCAAGGAGAGCCACAAAACAGTTGGAGATTGTTCACTCAGACCTGTGTTCGTTGGAGGTTCCCTCATATGGAGGTTGTAAGTACTTTATTACTTTCATTGATGATTTCAGTAGGAAAACATGGGTTTACTTTCTGAAGCAAAAGTCTGAAGCATGTGATGTTTTCAAACAATTTAAGGCTTTTGTTGAAAAGCAAAGTGGTTATGAAGTTAAAATCTTGAGAACTGATAGAGGTATAGAATATATTGCTTGTGATAATTTTCTGAAAGAAAAGGGTATTCATCACCAAATGACAGCTAGATACACTCCACAACAAAACGGAGTGGCTGAGAGGAAGAATAGGTCAATCATGGATATGGTGAGGTGCATGTTGAAATCCAAGGATCTGCCTAAACCTTTTTGGGCAGAAGCTGTTGCTTGTGCTGTCTATGTGTTGAATAGGTGTCCAACTAAGAGTGTCCGTGATAAGACGCCCGAAGAAGCTTGGAGTGGGAGAAAACCCTCTATCAAATATCTCAAGGTTTTTGGATGTTTGGCATATGCCCACGTGCCGGATCCATTGAGAAAGAAGTTGAATGATAAAGGTGAGAAATGCATATTCATTGGTTATAGTGACGCTTCAAAGGCTTATAAACTATACAATCCTGAAACTAAAAAGTTTGTTATAAGTCGTGATGTCACTTTTGATGAATATGGTGCCTGGGATTGGTTAGCTAAAGATGAAAGTTCAGTTGTTATTCCTGCTGTTGAAAATATTGTTGAAGAGCAACCGATTCCAGATAATGTCCAGTCTCCTTCACAGCCAGAATCGTCAGTTCGGCGATCTCAGCGCGAGCGCCACTTACCAGCTCGCTTGCAAGATTATGTTTTGGGTCATGATAATGACCTGTCTGATGAAGAGATTGTTCAATTTGCTCTCTTTGCAGATTGTGATCCTTTAACTTTTGAGGAGGCTGCTACAGAAACTCATTGGCTTAAGGCGATGGATGAGGAGATACGTGCCATTGAAAAGAATGGTACCTGGGAGTTAACAGATTTACCTCCTGGGAAGAAGCCAATTGGAGTAAAGTGGGTTTACAGAACGAAATACAAGTCAGTATATCCAACTTGAAGACGAAGACATTTCTTAAATTGAAGAAGGAAATTGGGATGACCAATATATCCAACTTGGTTTAAAGGAGGCAATGTTATAATAATATTATTATTATAATTGTTAAACCAAGAGTTAATTAGTTTGTTAATTAAATTAAGTAGTGGGTGGTGTGTATCCAGTATGTGGCTTAGTGTATGTGGAGTACATGGAGCATACATTCCTAATTTTTAGCTTTATTATTATTTCTCCTTTACTATAAAAGGCTGTGTATCAATCTTTTTCAAATATCAATCAAGTTAATTCAATTCTCCTTCTCTCTCTCTTCTCAAATATTATATATATATATATATATATATATATTATAGATATATTATATTATATTTAATATATATTATATTAAATATATTATATTTACTATATCTAACACATTTGTATGTAGCGGTTCTTTGCGAGTTCATACACTCTCTCTTAAATAAGGTCCAATTAAGATTGAATTAGAATAATCTCACTATATAAAATGTGGATACCAGTGTAATTTGAACATGTGACTTTTTGTAATTTAGTACTTGAAAAAGGATGTATGAAGCTGTGTAATGGTACTGATGACATATTGACATGCGGTTTAAAGGAAGGGAGATCAGTTTAATAAGGTTTCAGATTTGAAACTTGTAAATATAACAATATATATCGAAAAAGCTTCCTCAAAATAGAATCCAATACAAATTTTGAGTACAAAAGGGAATTATGCAGTTATACCATAAACCAGAGTTCACATTACATTGTGGATCCTAATCTAAAATGACATTTAAATTATGTATTTACAATTAATAAATTATATGCCTATTACAACTATTACAATCAACATATTATATACTTATAGTTAATAGTTTATGTACTTGTAATTAACATATTGATGGTTTTGTTGAAACATGGTCCACCATAAATCGGGTATAGAAGTACAAAACCGGCGGGGGTAAGAAAGTAATAGTATTATTGCTCGGGGTGCTAGGCCCAAATAATTTGTACAAAAACCTAAGGTACAGGTCCAAAATGACAACCCAAATACAAAGACTAAGCCTCGAAGACTAGGCTATAATTAACTATGCTAGCTACAAGAGTTGAACATAGATGGATAGGTTGAGAGTATAGACTAGAAACCACTAGTCCAAGGTACCTGTAGTGCTTAGATAGTGATGTCATGGTAAGAGGCAAGACATCCTATTTATAGAAGAATCCCCTGCACTGTCCACGTGTACGCCCCTGGATTCACTCCCTCTACATCCTCCACATGTCCCACGTCCACGCACCATTGCACTGGGGGCGCAGGGCACGCCTCAAGCAGCGAGGGTCAGCAACCCGGCCGATGGCACCCCCCCCCCACCATTTCCGCACCGCCGCACCGCGCCACCTCCCGAAATGGGGGCGCGGGGCACGCCCACGCCGGCGGGGGCCAACGTCCTGACCGGCGACCCTCACAGCCACCCGCCAGTGGCCAGGCGATACCCCCCTTCCAGGTTGGCCCATCCTCCCTTTCTTGACCCTCCTCCTTCCTTGACCTGCACTGCCAAATCCAGCTCATTACCAAGAGCCTGGTAAATCTTAGCCCATAACCCATATCTCCATCACATATTATGTACCTCTAATTTTTTTTGAAACAATGTACCTTTAATTTATTTATAGTTATATAAACGGTTAACTGGATGTGCATAAATGTTAACTGCATATACATAATTTAAATATCATTTTGAATTAAGGTTTACAATCCAAGATAGACCATAGACAATAGTATAATTTGCGGTAAATTATGTTGTGGTCCAAAATGCGCGTCTGGAATAATGGTGTCGTTAGTGGCACCGTTTCCTCCGCCAATGATATTTTTTTGTGAATATATAGTTCAAAACTTGTGAATATAGAGTGCAAAGATTGTGAATATAGAATTCAAAAATTGTGTTATACTTTTGAATATAGAGTTCTGTAATTGTGAATATAGAGTTCTTTAATTGTGAATAAGGAGTTATGAAATTGTGAATATAGAATTCTAAAATTGTGAATATAGAGTTCAAAAATTATGAATATAGAAAAATGAATTCTGAAGACAAACGACAAGAAAGGAAGTAAGAATAAGGGTCAAATAGGTCATCCAACTGCACACCAAAGTGCAATTAGGCCATCGAACTAAAAAAAGATGCAATTGGGTCCCTGAACAACATAAAATCATGCAATTAGGTCCAAAATGACATGTTTACCTAAAATGGCGGTTACCAATTTTAAAAATAACTTTTAAATAAAATAATTAATTTTTAAAAATAATTTAAATAAAAATTTAAAAAAAAAAAAAAAACTAGAACTGCCGGAGATTCGTCTCCGCAGGCTTCGTCTCCATGGCCAGAGACGAAGACCTTCGTCTTCGGCCATGAAGACGAAGAGACCTTCCTCCTTCTTTGACGTCGTTTTGGACGCGGGTCCACCTTGCATGCCATAACAATTGATAATTTGCCTTGTGGAGTAGAATGGTGGATCAAAGCCTCAAAGTGGAGCTAAGCACCTTGTGTTCAGATGACATCTCTGTGATAGAGTATTGATTCTTTGGACTACAGTAGTTAAAAAAAAGTATAAAACAGATACTACCTTATAATAGAGTCAATAGTATTAAAAAAAAAAAAAAAAAGCCTCAAAGGGGAAGCACATAAGAATACAATAGCCCAATAACAGCTTAAACCTTGGCCCAAAGATAAACCCGAAAGCCTTATACCCGACCCATAAACAAAAAGTTGGGGAGATTTAATTAGGGTTTCTCAAACAAACCGTTCTTCCTTTCTCTCTCTTCCGCCATTCCTCTCCGGTGAGTTCCTTTGTGTTTCGCGCTCCCACGCACTCATATTCAGTTTGTTTTGTTTCATATTTGTGTTTCGCTGTGTACTTGATAATTTTCAGATTTTGGTTGTTTTATTGATTTTGTATTGTCGTTAGATATATATATAGTAGATAGATATTCATGGCGGCAGCGGCGGAGGATCAACAGCCTCTGAACTACGTAGATGAGGTTGTCCTGAAGAAGAGGAGGAACAATGAGGAGTGGGCAATTCGAAGGAAGCTTCAGCTGGAGCAAAAAGTAAGGAAGCTCAAGTCCGATAGCTTCGTCATCAAGAAGCCCGAACAGTTCATCAGAGAATTCCGTGATAAGGTAATATTTGATCTTGGATATTGCCTTTAAATTTTATCCAGTGCTTTACGTGATGAGGAAATTTTGGCTCCTTTTTTTGGGTATAAAAATCTATAATTTTCTCATTATTGATTGATGGTATGAACTATGAAGATCAATTGGTTCCGAGTGCTGTTTAATTGTGTCGAAAGTTTGCCACTATTTGGCCTTTTATTTCATTATTTATTATTTATTTATTTTGTTTTTTCAATGTTGCAAACAGTCTTGCATGCTTACCATTCTAAAGCTGTCTATGTGCTTTAAAAAAAAAACTTGGGCCAAGTTGAATATGAATACCTCACAAGTCACAAGTGGATTTCAGGGTTTGTAGATAGGCGTGTTAGGCTAGTTGTTTAGTTTGCTTTTACTCTTGTTACCCTTCTACAAAAAATTATAGAGATGGAAAGAAAGATGAACTATGACTTTTGAGAGTGTGTGTTCAATCAAATAAGCATGCTTTTATCTTTTGTGTGCACTTGCTTCTGTGTGTGTGTGTGTGTGTGTGTGTGTGTTTAATGTAATTTTTATGAACGTGTCTGGGACATGCCCTGTGTGTGATCTCAGTATTGAGACAGGTTTTGGCAGTATGCTCTGCGGTCAATTTTCTTTCTATCTAAATCGTACACTGTTAATAATATTCGGTCATTGCCTTTAGATCATTTAACAGTATCTTTATTCACTTTTCAGGAGCTTGACCTTGTACGACTGAAACAAAGGAGTAGTAAGAATAGAAGACGAGTATCAGTGCCGCCAACTTCCAAACTCCTATTCGTCATACGTATTGGAGGGTGGGTAACTGCTTACTAGTGTCTCTACAATGCTTCTAGTTTTTAATTTGTATTACTTACCCTTTGGTTATAACTTTTCAGGAAGAATGATATGCATCCAAAAACTCGAAAACTTTTATACTCATTGAGGCTGAGGAGAGTATTCAATGGGGTATTTCTGAAGGCTAATGAAAGAACAATGGGAATTCTGCAAAAGGTGGAGCCTTACATTGCATATGGGTATGTTGAATCGATCTCCACTTCTAATGCAATCCAGTGGGTACTGCTGTTTGTTGTTTTGATGATCATGATATCCTTTTTTATTCGTATCTCAAAGTATCAAAAAGGATTTACTGGTTGGTGAAGTGTAAGTATAATGATGATCAATTAACTTAGTGATTTGTTGGGACATACATATTGCATAAACATAAAGATGTGGTGAAAATGATCATTACGATATGGACCCTTTGGAGCATAGTGCATTTCCTTATAAAAGTTAAAGCCATTATCTTTCTCTTGAATAAAGTCATAAGGAAAATTTAGTGGTGGTGTTCCTTCTTTATTTAAGAATTGCACATCTATTCTTGAATAAGAATCTTAAGGATGGCAGGAGTTTTTTTGTATATTATTGTACTTTACATTGCTTTTTGGCTTTGTGGAGAACATTCCATGTTCTTGTGCACCAATGATTCTCATATTCGTAACTGAAGTGGCAAGCATTTGACTTTTTTTCCCTTTTCCTAACACTTCCATTCATGGTTGAAGGTATCCTAATCTCAAGAGCGTGAAGGATCTGATTTGCAAAAAAGGGACCGGCAAAGTTGACAAGCAAAGGGTGCCTTTGACAGATAATAACATCATTGAACAGGTAATGTCAATTAATCAATCATTGCATATTTTCTGTCAATTTCTTGAACATGAACATATCATGTGACTTTTTGTATGGCAGGCATTGGGTAAGAGTGGCATAATATGCTTAGAAGACATTATCCATGAGATTGCTAATGTCGGTCCACACTTCAAGGATGTAAGTGGCTTTCTTTGCCCCTTCGCTCTCAACAAGCCAGAAAAAGCATTGCAGGGCAAGAAAAAACGATACGCAGATGGGGGAGACTCTGGAAATCGCGAAGATCATATCAATGAGTTGATCAGTTTGATGAATTAGTATAAGCAAGAGTGATCTTGTATGAGCTATCAATTTTGTTGGAAGGAATGTGTTCATGTTTCGTAGTTACTGGATAAATGTACGAAGTTAAAATTTATAATATGACTGAATGTTCTTCCCCAATTTACAGGTTGAAGCTTAGCATGATATTTATACTTTCATTTTATGGCTTGTGCTTGTGGAACACCCTTGACCCCATTCCCCCATTGAATAAATTTTGGATTTGGAGCAACTTCACTAAATTGGTTAAGCTGCTGATTTGGTAATTACAATCTTACAAGTTGGACTCCTTGTTTAAATTGATAAACTATGAGTAACTTAAGTAGGTTTATATTCAATTATAGGTAATTTATGTTGTTTTATCTTTTTGTGGTCTTTTATCAGTTAGGACACAAGGCAATGTATACCCTCAAATATATTATGGTATAATTTGTCCCATACAAAATATGTTAACGCTAGATACATAATTTGAAGATATGCAAGGTAGGCTTGTAGGCTTATACCACGGATTGTTTTTTGTGATCGTGTTAGCTTGCCAATTGGGTAAAGGGGGCGTCAATAGCGACTGGTCTGGAGCTATTAGACCTAAGGAATGAAATGTGCTAACTGGTTAGCTTGTCAATTGGGTAAAGGGGGGCAAGGGGCGTCAATAGCGACCGGTTTGGAGCTATTGTTGCGACTGGTGTGGAGCTATTATTGTTCCCTAATAGGCATTGTGCGTTGTGCTGGACTTGTTGCGACTGATGTGGAGCTATTGTTGTTCACCTAGTAAGCATTGTGCGCTGTGCTGGACTCTGTGCTGGACTCTATCCGCACGACTGCTGTGCTGGACTCTATCCGCACGACTATTGTGTGTTACGCTGGACTCTTTTAGTCATGGTATAATTTGCTGTATAATATATGATTATGTCAAATTTATAGATTTTTTTTAATTTTTTTTTAATGGATTCCCTCCTTTTTGTTTCGGGTCTGGCAACTCAAATCTATAACCCTGATCTCACCTACTTGTTCTCAAACCAGTCAAACCCAATCCCTGAAGCATTAATCTCTTTTCTCTTTCCCTTTTGTTTTGTGTTTTTGGAGTATTTTCTACTTTCTGGAAATGGAGAATGGGGATGATTGGCTCGCCATGGACAAGCTTTACCACGTACTCTTCTGCTTCTCCATTGCTATCTTCACCTCCCTCGTTGCGGGTCGAACCCGGTACCCGTTTATTCGGCGCAGGAGCATCTGGGTCGGATCCCTGGTCTCCCTCGCCGCCGGTGCCGCCAAGGAGGTCGCGGACGAGCTCGGCTTTTTCAAGTCCGCCGGTGCTTCGTCTAAAGACGCCGTCGCCGACGCCCTCGGCACTCTAATTGCTGCTTTTCTTCTTTTGCTCGCTAAACCCTCTTCTTTCGCTGTTCGACCCGACCAGTTGAGCCGCGATAAGGAACTCAACATGGTCTGATCGCACCATAAATGTCAAATGTTTCTTAGCTTCTGATTCTCGGAGCACCAACTGATTGCTAGGTAATGGTTCCTTACAAGTTAAAAGCGTGTTTACTACTCTTACTATTACTGGTTTCTCTTTAGTTGCTTGGAAAAATAACATATTTACATAATTCTTAGATGAAAGACTACATTTTGCTCAACTGTTTCGTTGTTAATCTTCATAGTTTAGTGATTGATATTCAAATGAGTGAAATGACCATTTTTTTAATCATACTTCTCAACAGGCATAGTATATTTGTGTGGAAAATATGGCTTGTAAGCGGAAACATTTTAGTTCTGCTACACGTGATACTAGATCAATTGCAGTAATGGCTGAAATTATGGAGCACGAGATTCAAGTCTCAGATTTTTGGCTTCATGGAGACCGAGCTTCTGGATTGTAAGACTAGGTCTGTCTTTTAATTCACATTGAACGAATTGCATAATAATTCTAAAAGTTTGGTTGGATTGTTAACCCAAAAAAGATGCTCTCTGAACACCTCTTTTAATGGTTTTAATTATATCTTAAATCCTATATGGCTATATATGCTTGATGTGATCAGTATAAACCTATCACTTTAAAAACATTGAGTAAATTCTAGTTGCAATATTCAGGCAGTGCCAGAACCTATCTATATTAAATATCTTGTGTGCATCTGTTAGCTTTCTTGACCATATCTGCAATTGCCTTCTTTTAAATTTCAAAGAATGAATAAGAGATGATTTGCATTCATCATTGATGACTAGTTTGTGCGCAGAATAGTAGTAAGTTTTTTTACTATAAACCACGAAATACAAAGAAAGGGAAGAGATAGAATAGAAGAAGACATGTTTGATTTTCTCAGAATGCTGATAAGTGTTTCCAACTTTAGCAATGCAATTTATATTTTCATTTATCTGGGAACATACATAGATCTTTATTATCACTTTCGTACCTATGTGAACCATTGAATGTACAATGGTGTTATCTGTTAAGAGTGACATGAAAAATGTGAAGGGATTTAATAACACATCGCAACATTTTGTACCTTTATAAAAACTTGTGAAGCTTAAGCTGTTATCTTTTTCATCCATGGTGTACCATGCTGGATGTTTCATTCAATTGCCAAATGCAAATTCTCGTCTCAGACTGGAGAGAATAGAATTATTTATAGCATTTTTCTCTTCCTACCTCCACCATTATGTTTTCTCAAATATGTAGACCTTCCACATCTACCCACCACTTTTATTTATAGCATTTGACCTTTATCTAACACATCATTTTTTTTCTGGACTTCTCTATGGTGCACACTTTTTTGGTACCACATGCTCTCACCTTTGATTCTATATAGCTTTGTCATAGTGAGGCTTTGGTACTAAAGTATTTGATACCACAGCAATATAGTTTTTATACCACAGGATTGAAGTTTTATTACAATATTCAAATTATAATGTGATGGTACCAATGCTAAAGCTATATAGTATCAAAGTTAAAAACACATGATACCAAGGAAGTGTGTATGGTCCAGTGGTCCACACATTGCACCATAGAAATTTTCCTTTTTGTTTTATTAGGTGTAATGAGGATTTCATGGATCACCTTCTGAAACTGTGTTCAACTGAGGGCTTTTGTTGATTTTCGCCATCTTCATCAGGCAGTTTAACTGCAGAATAAACACCTGCCCCAGCAAGGGCACCAAGGATGGGGGCAGTTAAGTAGATCCATATAGCTCTGTAGTTTCCTGCAGCTATTGCTGGTCCGAGAGTTCGTACTGGGTTCATGGAAGCTCCGGTTGTTTGCCTGAGCCATGAAGAGTAGAGGCTTAATGTGTGAGAACTTCCTGTAGTAGGCTTCAGATATCTTTTTATGTTCCCAAATCCCAATACACCCTTGGGTGATGCTTTACTCTTGGGACAACCCAGACTTCAATTTGAACATCTATATAAATTTGTCATATGTAATACATATTTTTCACTTTTGCTAACCCCCTTTTCTCACCCACTTTATCCTTATTTCTTCACTGGACCCTTTTCTTTTATAATGGTAATTTTCACCATCTCATACTTTTTACTTGGAACTTTAAATAAACATCAACAATAAAAAGGAAAATGAAATAATATGCATAGATGATGTTGTAATTACCCAGCTATAAGTATGTTGACCATGACAGTGGCTCCTACTGCTATTCCTGCAAGCTCTCCAACCTGTATCAGCAGTAAACAAGATTGATACTGAATTTCAGAAGTCATTGAAACAAATACTTAAAGAAGAGAAAGTTTTTATGATTAGGCCGGACATATGTGTTACCTTAGTTTGATACTGTATTAAATTTATGCAGGCCCGGTTTGGTAACATAATTAGCTTAACAGCCAATTTTGGCTTATTTGGCCACTATTAGTTGTTTGGCTTGCTTAAATCTTCAATATAAGTGCTTGATTAATTAGCTTCTTGTAACAACTTATTGCTTCAAAATGCTAAAATTCTTAAAGTTGGTCAAAACAACCATTTTTATCAGTTTTTTGAGAAAGTCATTTTACATGTAATCAGCTAACAGCTATTTACTAAACACCCCACAATTAGACTGACCATTTTGTTTATTAAACACCATAGGGCATGAAACTTGGGGCTAGCTGTCTTGCAACTTGTTTGGTACTAAATTGAAAACACCATATGTTTTTTGTTTTTAACCCACCACTTGGAAGAGTGTATTCAGAAACATGTAGCAATGAAAAAGAAAGATTATGGTAGGATCCTATGTTTATGGCTTACAGCTCGAGTGTCGGTGGAAACTGCAGTAATAACAAACATGAGGATGAAGCTGATGATGAATTCCAAAGCAAAAGCTTGAATGTAATTCCCAGAAGGAACTGTTACACCTCCACCCATTATGGGGTGGAAAACTGCCTTTAGTATGAATGCTGCCCCCAATGATGCCATCACTTGTGTCCCAACATAAACTGGAACCTAACCAAATTGAAATTCAATAGTCATTGAACTGTAAGGAAACGAAAATATAAGCAGCAGAGTATTTTGTAGTACTGTGTATTATATTCTAATAGTTACATGTTTCCAGGGGAAGTGTTTGAGAGCAGCAAAGGCGATAGTGACAGCAGGGTTGAGATGAGCTCCGGAGATGTGACCGGTGGAGAGAATGACAATCATAACAGCAAGGCCGGTGGAGCCAGCCAGGCCGAGGAGCGTTTCAGCGCCTTGAGTCTTTTGGTTGACAATGGCTGTGGCTGTTCCTGCAAAGATTAGTATCATAGTCCCTATGAACTCTGCTCCCACCTGTTTTCCACAAGAATTCATGAACAAAATCACATTAAACTTGCTGTAATGAAACAGGTCAGCCAATCTTCATTTTCTTGGATACTTAATGTTTTTCCCCCCTTCCTTTCTCACCTTTCTTGCTAGTGAAACCGGAGGAGAGGGCAATGTGCATGAGACAGAAGGCAAGCTTCCTTCCTCTAAAGCCCAGGCTTCCACGCTGAAGCACTTGCAGCTCTTAAGAAGGGAGTTTCTGCCATTGCCAGCTCTCTCATGCCTGAACCCTCCAAAGAGTGGAGCACCGGGAGTCCCCGGTGTCATTGGCGTTGAAGGTGCTGACACAGCCTCTTCTGATTCCATTACTATCTCAAAATGTTAAATTTTTTTGTTTTCTTGGGGATTCAGAGCTCAAAATGAGAACCTTCTACTTTATTACAACAATGTGTAAAGTTCAAGGTGACTTTTCTTTGCTCTGGTGTTCTTGCTGGTGGTAAAAGCCTAAATCTTCATACCCCTTTATAGTACTCTGCAGTTAGAGTATAACCCATCTCTGGATGGTTGACCCCAAATGGATCACACAGCATGGAAAGAAGTGGATGGAATCTTGTGTCTAAAGTGGAGGGTGGGGTATAAAAATCAAGACTTTCACAACCATTGCACTTGGATTTTTGGTGAAAATCATTGAACTTGAGACCTCAGTCATATTTTTCTTTTCTTTTTAATTTTTAATTTTTTTTTGCTGTCCCTTCCACTTGATTTTATATTTTTACTCAATCATGGAGTAGACAATTGTCTATAGCCCACTAGTTGTCATAGCAAAGGCAATGTGTAGCTTCTAAGTGTAGAGAAATAGACAAAGAATCCATGGTAGGTGAACAGTGAACTGCCAAGAAGTAGGCAATTAAATATTTTTTAATCCTCAAATTATATTTCTTTATCAAGAATTTCTTCTGTGCAGAGAAACTTGTGATAATATAAAATCTCATTCTGACTTCTCACCATGTGTTTTGTGTATTCTTTAACTTGTATAGTTTTCATGAATTTTTATATTGTCTTTAAGCATTGTGCTTTTATGTTTAGTGGTGTTATCCCTTTTGCTTTGCTAGTGATATTAGGGAAAGGGAATGCCTTACAACATGAATTGTATTAAATCAGTCTTCTAAAAATCGGCTTAGGCGTCGATTAAGCGCTAGGTGTCCCTAGGCCGAGGCGATTTCAGCCTTAGGCAGCTGATCGACTAACCAGCCAACTAGGCGCCGACTCGGCCGAGTTGAGCGCCTAACTATGCTGAGTTGGCGCTTAACTCGGCCGAGTGGTTTTTTTTTTTTTTTTTTTGCCTACTCGGCTACTCCTCTTTTATATTTCTTTAGCTATGTACTCAACTAATCATCTAACATATGCAATTGACTAGTTTCGGGGATTATAAGAGCAATCGTTATATCGTGGACCCTGATTCAATACACAGAATTCATGTTCATAATGCACAGAATTCATGTTCATAATACACACATAAACACGATGTAATGAACATGAATTATGTGCATTATGAACATGAATTATGTGTATTATATAACTGAGGACACATAAATACTTAACATAATACACATAATTCATGTTTATAATGCACAAAATTCATGTTCATTATATCGTGTTTATGTGTATGTGTATTATGAACATAAATTCTATGCATTATGAGCATAAATTTTGTGTATTATGAAGTCAAATTCTATGTATTGAACCAGGGTCCACGATATAATTTGCCTTATAACAGTCTAACAACTCTTAGCCCTGAGTAGGAAAAATGAAAACGGTATACTCAAATTACTAGGCACCACCTAGTTGCTAGGCGCCCCAAACCCCGACTAGCGCCTTCTGCAACATTATATTAAATTCAGAATATATTAAAACATGGTATAACAAATTTTTTTATTTTTATTTTGTAAAAATAATGTTATTCATCACATGATGGTCCTACGAAGTGATAAGATTTTTCCAATTTGGAGTATTGTTATGATTGTTCAGGACAGGAAAAAGTAGTGGGAAAGATGAAGGACAGTTAGCTAAAAGTGACATAGGACTTTCTAATCAAATCAAGCTAACTTGTTAATAATACTACAATACTTCTCACCACCTATCCCTATCCCTATCTCTTTCATTTCCATTATTGTTGTTTTGTAGGTTGTGACTGCATTTAATGTCAGGAAGAAGAATCCAAACTATTTGTAGTATCTCCATTATTGCATTCTTTTGTAGTTGGCTTCATGGCTATTTTAATAGTTTTATGGATGAAAATCGTCATGTGATTTTAACTGCCAAAATGTCATTGAGAATGGATTGATAGGGAGGGATTTTGTGCATTTCATATACACATATAGGAACAAGTTAGGTGCAAACTTATCAAAGTTACCCAAAAAGTCAAAACTAGTAACAACCCAAAAAGTCACAATTAATGGAGGTAAAAAAATAAAAAAAAAATAAAAAAACCACATCAATTGAAATACCAGTAACATAATTATAATTAGGGAAAATCATTTTTCCCCTTTGAATTATATGTTTATAGCACATTTTCTCCTGAGTTATTCATGTAAGCATATTAGCCCCTCAATTATTTTAAAAGTGACGGTTTCCCCCCCTAATATATTAAATTAACATTTCTACCCTTAAAATAAACATTTTATTTATTTTTCTTCCCCAACAAATTATTGCTTATACGTAGGGATGACCACTGTTCGGTTCAAAACTAAACCAGACACTATAACAATTGAATTGAAAGTTTCTGGTTATGATTCAGATCCAGAACCCAATATTTGGATTTCAGTTTATTAAAATTATGAATCGAAAAAATTAGATCCTGAATCGTGAATCGGCGGTTTTGGATCCGGTTTGCGATTTTGAACCGTCTTTATTTTAAAATTTTAATTCTTATTTTTAAAATAGTCTAAATTCAACAATAGATGTATTTTATTTTTTTTCAGTTCGGAACATGAACCGGCCGTTCCGGTTCGCGATTTTAATAAACCCTAAATATCATATTCCAATTCTAAATTGTAATTGAAATATTTCAGTTTAGTTCCTATAGTGTCTGTTCGATTTGAACCGAATCGTGGTCATAATTTGTTGGAGAAGAAAAATAAATAAAATATTTATTTTAAGGGTAAATATGTTCATTTAACATTTTAGGAAAAAAAATAGCCACTTTGAATAATTCAGGAAAGAGAAAATGTTATAAGTATATAACTCTGGGGAAAAAGTGTTATTTTCCCTTATAATTATGTAAAAGTTTTAATATCTACTAGAGAAACGAGCTAATATTAACATTAAGTCTGCACTTCTAGAGTTTTTATTATGCATATATTTCGAAATTATGTTGTGCACTTTTAAAAATTTTGAAGCACAATTTAGAGTTGTTGAGTTGTATTTTTAAATATAATAGTATGCACGTTTAAAGTTTTTATTGTGCATTTTTAAAGTTTTTGAGTTGTACACTTGAATATCATGAATAGTTATGTTGTGCATCCGGTGCACACGGTTTCAAAACGACGTCGTTTTGACTAAAAACGTGTGTCCCATTTAAAAAAAAAAAAAAAACAGCTTTGATTCCCATCAACAACATTATGTTGTTCATTCATTGTGGATTTTTAGTTCATTCATTATGGATATTTAGTGCATTCATTCTGGATTTTGTGTTATTCATTCACTGTGGATATATAGTTATGAATTTGTGAATATATAATTCAAATTATGCACAAAAAAATGCTATTACCGGGAATCGAACCTGAAATTTTTTATTTTGCGAAATTTCCGGGCATGTTGTGCGGAATTTTATTTTACACATTTAGATTTTTAACTTTGCATTTTTCATACACACAACAAATAATGAAAATACTCAATTATGTCAATAGATTATGTTTGTCTTTGAAGGAAGATATTGATGAAAGCAGAGAAGAAAACCCTTGTAGTGTTATATTAAGCTCTTTGTATCAATTTCCAACACATTATTTACATCTCTTAGGAGGGTACAAATTCATCATGAATTATGAATTTTTATTCAAATATGCCTTGTTTGTCTTTCATAGCTTCATAAAGAATAAAAACTTGGTGAAAATTAATATTAAAATTACAAAAAATAATCGAGTTATGTTACATTTTTTAACTTGTTTAATTTCACTTTTCACTGAATGATATATTAATATCTAGATGCATTATTAGCATTTAAAAAAAAATACATTGTCAAGTGAGTGGAATATAATTCTCGTACTTGAAAGTCACAAGTTCGATCTTGTCAATATTCTCTCAGCGAGCTCAGTGCACAAGGTTACACTGGAACAAAGTTTACCTATTGATGGATTCTAGCTTGAATCACTTTGAGAATGAAAGAAGAAGAATGTTTATTGATGGGAAGTTCATCTTGAGTTCAACTGAGAAGAATCGGAACACATTGTAATGAAGAAGAAGAAGAATTCAGAGAGCAGAAGCTTAAGCCTTTAATAGGCAGTTAAGGAATAGTTATAACTAACTAAGGGAAAAAGACTAAAAAACCCTTGCAGCCTAGCCTTGCTTGATTATGAATGTTGTGGCACTTTATAACACTTCATCACCCCCCCCCCCCCCCCTTAAGCTGGAGAATGAAGATCCTGAAGACCCAGCTTAGCACGAAAAACATTGAATAGAGGAATGGGCAATGCCTTAGTGAAGCCATCTGCTATTTGTTTACTTGAAGGAATACTCAACAGTTTTATCACACCTTCATGGACCTTTTGCCTCACCACATGGCAGTCAATTTCTATGTGTTTGGTGCGTTCATGGAACACATGGTTCTCCCCAATGGCCACAGCTGAATTATTGTCACAAAATAGAGGAATGGGATTGCTGCTATCCACTTTCAGATCTGCGAACAAATATAATAGCCATTGCAACTCACAAACAGTTGAAGCCATGGCGCTGTATTCTGCTTCAGATGAAGATCTTGACACAGTAGCTTGTTTCTTTGTCCTCCAAGAGATAAGAGAGGTGCCTAAGTAAATGCAGAACCCTGTGATTGATTTTCTGGTCTCAGTACATGTAGCCCAGTCTGAATCAGAGAATCCTTGCAACTTAATCTCAGAATCTGAAGCATAGAACAGGCCTTTTCCAGGAGAACCTTTGAGGTATCTCAAAATCCTATGAGCTGCAACCAAGTGTGTACTCCTTGGTTGATCAACAAACTGACTTAGCTGCTGAACAGAATATGATATATCAGGCCTGGTGTTGGTTAAGTAGAGAAGCTTACCAACTAGCCTTCTAAAGCATTCAGGGTTATCAAGTAAGATCCCTTCATCACTGGTCAACTTCATCCCTGTAATACAAGGTGTCTTGGCAAGTTTAGCATCCAAGAACCCATTCTCTTGTAATATTTCTAGGGCATACTTCCTTTGACACAGATTGATGCCATTTGGAGTTCTGAATGCTTCAATCCCTAGGAAGTAGTTTAACTGGCCAAGATCTTTGATTTTGAAGGACACATCTAGCATATGTTTCAATTTCTTGATTTGACTAGCATCTGTTCCTGCCACAAGAATATCATCTACATATATGAGCAAGGCCATAAAAGAATTATTTGAGCTCTTAGTGAATAAGGAAGGGTCAGCTTGGGACTGTTGAAAATCATCATCTAGTAAGGCCTTTGTGAGTTTGACATTCCACTGTCTGCTGGCCTGTTTCAAGCCATAAAGAGACCTCAGCAATTTGCACACTTGATTGGGTTTGTCACTCTTGAAACCTGGAGGCATCACCATGTAAACATCCTCATTTAGGTCACCATGTAGAAAAGCATTGTTCATGTCAAGTTGTTGAATGTCCCAACCTTTAGCAACAGCCACAGCAAGAAATGTCTTGATAGTGGTCATTCTTGCCACAGGAGAAAAAGTCTCTAAGTAGTCCACCCCAAGCTGTTGAGTATAGCCTTTTGCAACTAGTCTAGCCTTGTATCTCTCAATTGTCCCATCTGCTTTATGCTTTATCTTGTAGACCCATCTACATCCAATAGGAAGCTTTCCCACTGGTAAATCAGTTAGAATCCAAGTCTTTGTTTGGGTCAATGCATCTATCTCTGCTTGCATGGCTTTCTTCCATTCATCATGCTGTACAGCTTCATGATAGGATTGAGGTTCTTGTGTGATTGTGGTGGATGTAATACAGAACTTCTCTATGGGATGAGGAGAGGTTTTCAGAGAGTACTCTCTACCTATCATGGAGTGACAATAGTAATCATTGAGCTTGCAGGGAACAGCTCTTACCCTTGCTGATCTTCTAGGCTGTAATTGGCTAGTGTGGCCCTGTGAGTGGCTATGGGAGCCAGTTGGATCACTCAATGTCTCATTGTGCAGCCCAGAGTTGTCACTTACTATGTGACTATCTAAATTATCATCACTTTCAGCATTTCTGCTATGCACTTCATGTCTGAAATTGTTGCTGTCTGTTGCAGTTCTAGGACTGACACTTCTCATAGGCCATCTCACAGGTTCTAGGGAAGGGACTTCTGCTTCAATGGATGTGGGAATCATAGGTAGAGAGGGATTAAGCTCCTCATTCACAGAGCTCAGAGGAGATGTTGTCTCTGATTCCCTGAAAGGATAGACTTGCTCATGGAATCTTACATCTCTGGAAACAAAAACACTTTGATTAGCAAGGTCATATAAGATATAGCCTTTTACATTAGCAGGAAAACCTAGAAAGATACATTTCCTTGCCCTTGATTCCATCTTATTTCTTCCCTGTGGAATGGTGGCACCAAAACATAAACACCCAAAGATTCTGAGTTGATTATAGTCAGCCTCTTTTCCAGTTAGCTTCTTAAAAGGAGAAATCCCACCAAGCACATCAGTAGGCAACCTGTTGTAATATGGTCTGTTGCTCCTGAATCTAGAATCCAGACCATATGTGTATTCAGAACAGTATTAACATGGATTTGAGGAATAAGACTACCTTCATTGTGAGCCTCCACAGAGTTTCTGAAATTTGCTTTAATCCCAGGAGTGGTAACTGCTACAGCAGCAGAGTTGCCTGAGACTTGATTTTGATTCTGCAACATGGATAACAGCTTTTGGAATTGATCTACAGACAGCCCTGTATCAGACACCTGACTCACAGAGGAGCTGGAAGGTTGTTGCATATTTTGAGAGTGCTTGTTCTTAGACTTGTAACCTGCAACCCATCCAGGTGGATAGCCATGCTTCTTGTAACACTTCTCAACAGTGTGTCCAAGCATGCCACAGAAGGTGCATTTTGGCACATTTTTCCCTCCATTGTTGCCAAATTTCTTCTTATTATCAGGGGTAAAAGTAGCAACAACTGACTGTTCTTCTCCAACTTGCACTTGACTGTTATAAGTGGCATTAGTCTGAGCAAACTCACTGCATTTTTGACTTATTGATCCCTTGATCTTCCTTTCTAGCTTTAAGGTCATATTTAGAACCTTTTCCATGTCTGGAAGGGGGTCCATGACAAGGACTCCAGATTTCACAGTTTCATAATCTTCATTTAAGCCTTCTAGAAAGCGGATTATCTGGTCTTCCTCTCTTTGTTTCTGCATTCTGCTCATAAGAGTGCAAGAACACCTAGGCACACACTCACATAGGAGTAAAGGCCTCAAGGCATTCATTTGTTGCCATAGAGCATTGCTCTTTGTAAAGTATTCATTAACACTCATGTTTCCTTGAACATTTTTAATCATTTCATTTTGAATTTCTGAAATTCTATGGGGATCGGATTGGGAATACCTCTTCTGTAGACTATTCCAGATGTCCGATGCTTTGTCAAGATACATGACTCCATCAGCAATGCTAGGGTTTACAAACCTCAATATCCAGGAACATACAATCCGATTGCACCTTCTCCAAGCTGCAACCCTTGGATCGTTTTCTTCAGGGACCAGAATAGCTCCGCTAACAAATCCAAATTTGTTCTTCACATCCAACGCAATTCTCATTGACCTACTCCAAGAGGCGTAGTTGAGCTCGTTGAGTGGAGGTGAAACTAAGCTCAAATTCGGATTCTCTGTAATATGTAGATACAGAGGATCATCGAAGTCCTCAATTCGTTGATTCAAGGAAGGTTGATTCGGATTTGACTGAGCTCCTGCATTTTGCGTCTGGTTCGAATTCCCGTCGCCGATTGGTTCCATCACAACTGCTGTGGCGTAACTTCGGTGACGCTCTGATACGATGATGGATTCTAGCTTGAATCACTTTGAGAATGAAAGAATAAGAATGTTTATTGATGGGAAGTTCATCTTGAGTTCAACTGAGAAGAATCGGAACACATTGTAATGAAGAAGAAGAAGAATTCAGAGAGCAGAAGCTTAAGCCTTTAATAGGCAGTTAAGGAATAGTTATAACTAACTAAGGGAAAAAGACTAAAAAACCCTTGCAGCCTAGCCTTGCTTGATTATGAATGTTGTGGCACTTTATAACACTTCATCACCTATAACACACATTCAAATAGTGATTAATGACTACGAATTTCCATCCTCATACAAAAATAAATAAATAAATTGCACAAAGAACAATGAAAATTTAAGTTTGAAAACTAAGGTAGGTGATGTTGGCATTTCCTTCCTTTTCGTACCCTTTTTAATTTACTCTTCAATTCCTTTCTCCATTTCAAAGTTGATAACCCATTCTTTGCCTTTTCAATTTCCATTCACTTAAACAAATAATACAACAATTTCCCTTTCAAAAAAAAAATTACAACAATTTCATTCCAATTCACTTAAACATTATTTATAGGTAAAAATTACAACAATTTCATTCCAATTCACTTAAACATTATTTATAGGTTTTTTTGAATGCTACTAGCTCTATTACATTGTAGTATCTGTTCATATACTTTCTCAACCTACTAAAACACAAAGAGCCAATAACGCCCCCACACTGAGGCTCGAACTCATAACCTTCCAAATGGAAGTCCAACCCGGATACCATTAGACCACATAGTCCTGGTAGGTAGTATTTATAGGTTAATTGAGATATATCTCAAGATTTATAGTTTTTACTCATTTATAGAACAAAGACGATAAAAGACCCTTAAGTTTGGAATTCAAACGTATTTGATTTCAATTCTCATAGCCGAAAATTCCTCTATCAAATGCATGTTCCCTTAGGTTTAATTACTTTGGAAATTTGAAGCATTCAAAGAATATATTTTTAGGGAGCAAATTTATCTTGTTGGTGGGATTTATGTGTACTTTAATGATTTATATTTAACTTAATTTAATTTTGCTTCCCAATTTGTTATTACTAATTAAGGTTAATGGGGATTGCCAATGTTTGTTGTGCCCCGGTTGATATTCAACAAAATTTGTCCAATGATCTCTTTTTGAGTATTCCTCAGCTAGTTTTATTATTTGGGTATCTCTTTATGTGATCCCCCTACACCCCCCCCCCCCCACCCATCAAACCAATACATAAAATGAGATGGTAATATTTATACTTTTTAAAAATAAATAGTCTCCAGAGCATTGGTCACACTTGTTTCTAGTGATAGGGTAGAGATTCTGCTCTTTGTGTGCAGAAACATACATTTTAGTGTTGAATCTCAAAATTAGATTGACTCGATTTATCTTTTTATGAGTCTGAACGAATTAATGGGATTCAATATATATTCGACGAAGTTAGAAAACATGAGATATCATATATATATATATATATATATATATATATATATATATATATATATTAATGGGATCTTATGTTTTCCGGCTAAGGTTGGAAGTTGTTGGATCTTTGAATATATGATGAAGAAGGTGTCGGGAATCTTTGATTTTGAACAACAAAACCATCTTTAATTATTGAAAAATGCAATGATCGATCAAATTATTAAGTGTTGATAAAGTTGTCTTTCCTTTTGGGTTAGTTATTGAATAAAATATCTATAGTGTCTTAATAGTCTTAAACCATTATTGAATTTATTTATTTTTTTATTTTTTGTTGACAAAAGAACTTTGATGTCCTAGCTTGACATGGATGAAGGTCTACCTTGTATTATGGACCTTAGTCTAAAATAATCTTAAGATTATATGTCTGCAGTTGACCATGACATATTTTATACCTGCAATTAATTGTATATATACTTGTAAATAAATTAAAGACACATAACATGTTAACTACAAATATAAAAAATGATAACTACAGACACATAAATTGATAACTACAGTTACAAAATATGTTAACTAGACACATAATATGTTTACTACACAAACATATTATGTGTCTGCAGTAACGTAATATATTTTATACTTGCAGTTACAAACATATTATGTGTCCATGGTATATATAACAATTGGTGTTAGCCTCTAGTCATTTTCAGTAAGCAGAATTAGAATTCAACTTGCTCTGATCTATCATCTCTCATGCATTCTTGGTTAGTCCAAAGCCCAATTTCACTTCCTTGATCCATCAATATGCTACTCTAGCTTAATGCCTACTTGGCCTAAGTGTAACAAAATCCTAGCTATACCATCACTAAGTGCCAACAATGAATAGGGTTGCATGTTGCATGCTAGAGAGTGGGTTGGAATTATTAGATATTGGCACAAAATAATTTAATAACTTCTTTATTTGGTTCAATCCAAAAAAAATGGATGGTAGTTACAAAAGTGATGTAGTGGAAAGATAGCAAGTAAACCAAAGAAACAATATAAGATAACAAATAAGCAAGCAAAGGTAAACTAGGATTCAAACTAAGCCCACCCTTGTCTAGATTATCGTCTAAGGATCAAAATCATGTGATGACCTAGCTTGCACTAAGAGAGATATAACAAGAATGTCAATGCTATTCTCTATAAGAAATTTTTTAATAAAAATGACATTGTAACTGACTATAAAATAGTATAAATATATGTGAGATGCACTTTCGACTTTACAAAAATTTACTTTAGGTTTGGACGGTTCGCGACCTTACGATATGATCTGACCAGGTGACTTTTCAGTTCACCTTGCAGTTTGAATGCACCTTTTGGGTACATTTTGCCGTTTTACCTTTCGGTAAAATTAGTTAATTATGATTATTTTAAGTATTAATTCTTATTCATTTCAATTTATTTTTTTTGAGAATTAATTACGTAACACCAAGTGTTATTTCCAATTTAATGGTTCGTTCTGGAGGTTACAATCTGATTTTTAATTAGATATTTAATACACGTTTATTTAATGCTAATTATTTGAACATCTCCTATAAATATCTTGGTATTGACAGATTGTAGTTGCTGATTTTTACAACTCCAAAATCTTGATTTTTCTCCATTTGTCTCTCAAATTATTTCTTGAAAATTTCTACCAACACTTCCCAAAAAAAATTGAAAGTGCTCTCATGTTGTTCTAGTTTGCCGAAAAATAATATAGCTTAAGTACTCAACTATATTACTGTAATTCATTTTATCCAGGAAGACTGACGCTACGATACTTGTAGCATCATCGGGAGGTAGTGAATGTGTTTTAAGGAGAGTGTGTGTTACACACAACTTGAATTTCTCTTGTTTTGTTCTTTCTTCCGTTGCGTTTATATTTTATAAAATTCAAATCCTTGATTTTTATTTATATTTTAATAGATTTTGCTTATCAACTTATTCATCCCTACATTCTCAAAGAGATTGGACTAGCCAACTAGTCTTGAACTCAACTATAATGGTAGCAATTCTAGTCGGGGCAACTTATTAAACACATAGCATTCAAGTCTCATTTTCCCTTCCTTTCTCAAGTCTCATTTTCCCTTCCTTTCTCAAGGCAAATTCAAGACCTTATAAAAAGATTATATAGATTTTTGATAAAACATTATAAACAATTATGCAATACATATTATTGTTGAATTAAAAAACTTTGACAATGACAAAATCTTGCTCGAAATCCCAATGATCCAATTTGAATTCGTAATATAGATTTAAACCAGCACTCATTAGATCCTTTTATTTGTATTGGTTTCATCACAATTTTCTTAATTGCAATCTCATTATGAGACTTCAATACTTGTGTTTTCTTATTTTCCTTGGAGTGAGAATGAACTAAAATTGGCGTCATAAATTAAGTTTCATGTTATGCGGTGGAGAATTACAAAGGCAGTAGGGGTGGGTACTTCGGTTCGGTTTATCCAATTAGAATTGGGACCGATTCGAATCGAACCGAACTAGTAATAGAAAATCGACGGTTCGGTACCGAACCAAATCGAAATCGAACGGTTTGACAAAAATTGAACCGAACCGAATAGCATATGATTTTTTTAATAAATATTAATAATAATAAAAGTAAATCCAGGTCCCTTGGCATTCAAAAAAAAAAATCCAGGTCCCTTGATGTCTGCTCCGCTGTTTAGTTCTTATTCTCACTGGTATCTCGCTTAAATTTTTTATTTGATTTCTTTATAGCTTGTTCTTTACATTGCAGTTTTGTTGTTTGTTGCAAGTGTTCTTTACCTCACAATTATATCTAACTTGAGTTATATTTACAATATTCAGCATTTTCCTTAGTTTCATGTTTCTATAAATTTAATAATGTGTTTTACAGTCATTCTAATTTTTATTTTTAGTGCACTAGAATTATTTTCTAGTACTGGAATATATTGCAAGTGTACTAGCAAAGCCAGATTGTGTCCAAAAATTAACTATATAGTACTTTACCCTTGTTCTTCTAATATCAACTATACAGATAGATGATTATTCATCTTGTCAATAAAAATATTCCAAATGAACCAACTGAAGAGTCGGTTCTGCAAAAAAAGTTAACTGATGCTTGGTAATTAGTACTTAGTATTGTGTTTGAATTTTGGATTGCTATTTTGTTATATAATGTTTAGAATTCGGATTTGGATTATGTGAATATGTATTGTTTGGTAGTATGTTCGAAAAATTAGGAAATGTTGAAATTAGGGGATCTTAAATCGAACTCTAATGTTAAACCGAATGGTTTAACTTTTTTAAAACCGAAAACCCGAAACGCCCACCCCCAAAAAGTGATAGGCCAAACAATAAGGGGCATTCCAAGAATTGAACTCGGGACCTCTCACACCCTAAGCGAGAATCATACCAACAAATGCCCGCACACTAACTTATTGAGTAAATATTCTATCAATACTATGTAGATCCGTTCTAATGTACTTCGTTGGTCGCTTAATGTTGTTAGGCGTTAAGTGGAG